CATCTCATTCTTGTTGGAATTAAACAGTAGAGAAAAGTTTAGTCAGAAATAATCCCTGATTTTAGTTCTAGGATTTAATTTGTTTCGTATTTTGATTAAATTTCTAATTTAGTCCAGATTATTCTGTAAATCCACTTCAAGAGCTTGTATTTATTCTCCTTTTCCAGTGTTATTTAAACATTGGATCTATTGTTTTATCCCAGATTGTAGATCTTAGTTTAATTTGTTAGATTTAAGTAAGTTTTAGCTTTATTTTTTCTAAATAGTTAGAATTAGGATTGCAGCTTTTATTTAATTGTTTCTGATGTTTTCAGGTTGATAAAGTTTCCATACAAATCTCTGAAATGTAGTATTCCTTTTTTTTATTAGTATATGTTCATGTTTTTTGTCACTTAAGCTCTAATAATCATCTCGCTCTGAAATATTCTGGAAACTGTTGAGATAACCTGCCTCATATTTTAATTTTTAGTCATTTTTCAAATTGAGAATGTAAAGAAAATGTATGATTGTATATAAATAAAAGACAATATGTTTGTTTCTTTAATTAATTTCCTGAAAAGTTTAGTGTTTCTGTCCGACAGCAGTCGTTTTAAAGCATTTTTTGGAAAACTTTTTTGCTTTTTGTGCTGAAATGAACCCAGATTTTGTTCTCAGAGGTTAAATCTGGTGTTTTTGTGGCTCTTTAGTTTCTCTCTTCAGTCTGCAGCTTCTCCTCCTTCTCGCTGTCGATACCTGAAACCTCTGCAGCTGATTTTCTCCACAGCCATGAGCTCAGCGACCAGCTGGGATTGGGTTTGTTTCCAGATGAAGGGAGGAAAAATGGGCCTCAGATGTCTGAAACCTTCCAGTCTCTGCCTCATCCTGACTCCAGCTCTTCTCCTTTATTCCTGTTTTCTCTCTGAAAATATTCACTTTTTTTTTTCTCCCTACTTGTCCCTCCATGTTTTCTCCCTCAGCTTCTTTTATTACCGACGTGGAGCTGATCTGACTGATTCCAGATCAGCTAAAATAAACACTTCCTGCTCCTTTCTGGCCCTTCTTCCAATCTCCAAACCCAAAATAAAATCGGCCAGATAAGCAGCAACCTTCTGGAAACGTGACCGTTTTAAAAATGTTTCTACTTTTCTATTTGAGCTGCAGTTATTCTATGGAGTTGTAAGAAACGGTGCCTGTTTTTATGGGGTTTTTTTTAGCAAACAAACAAGTAATTTAAAAACTTGGAAATAATGAAAAGGCATCCCAGTCCATTAGAGCCGTATGAAAATAGAGGAAAAATTAATCTAAAAATAAAACTATCGATCAAAGAGATAAAGATGGAAAACAAGATGTCCAACAAAACAAAATAATTCAAACTACATCAATTAAGAGATATAAACAGAATTAAAGGAACAAGGGAATATAAAATGTGGAGGTTTACAGCAAAAATCAGGGTTTTACTGGAAACCAGTTTAGCTGCTGGAATAACAAAGCTTCGGTGGAAAATTGGGA